TTGTAAAATGCATATTTAATTCAGTTTGAGCAAAACAGATACTCATCATCTGATGTGTGTGTGTGTGTGTGTGTGTGTGTGTGTGTGTGTGTGTGTGATGTGATGTGTGTGTATGGAGTTACCAAAGATTGCTGGAGGTGTTCAAAGTCAGGGATCAGAAGATCAGCAAAATACAGTTTCTGGGGTGTGCTCACCAACTGCTGAGACATGTTAAAAATAAACATAAGGGGGAAAGATGAACACAAGGCTCCTGGGATATAAAAGTAAGATGTGGACACCAGGAGGATTCAGTTCACCAGGTAATAGAACAAAAAGTAATGAACTAACCTACTGAGAGAGCTGTGATTAGAAGCAGATCCCCTGGAAATTTTGATGAATGATGCATTAGAGGGGGGATTTCGCATGACCAAGATCAGGTGATGGAGAACAACAGGCAAAACCCAGACTTGAAAAAAGTCCCTTCATAACTATGAGGACTGGCCTCAGAGTGCTCTGAGACCAAGAAAGGCAGACAGTTCCTGGATTGCATAGTTCTTGGGGGACTTACTGATGAAAGTGTGGCCCTGGGCAGCAGAGAGACTAGTTGGAGCCACACAATTTGGGTTAGAAAGAGGGGCATATTTGCATTAGGACAAAAGGTAACTTCATCTAGGTTGGAATGAACCTGATGTATCTTAAGCAGTCTCATACCTAGAGCTAGGGTCCGATTATCAAGTCCCACATATGACCCTAATGGTTTTATCTATTTATGGTTTGCTGGGAAACTATGCAGGAAAAACCAGGTAGGGTTACTTGGAGGATTGATGGCTATGACTCAAGATAGCTTCAATCATATCAAAATGAAGTGGTATAATGGTTGACACAAATATTGAAACCACAGAATCTTCCTACACCTGGAGTATGTGACTTTGCAATGGATGGGGTAGGCACCAAGAGTATGCATGTGAGGTCGTGAAAGTGAGTGTATGACATTTGGTGAGTAACAGGAGTAGGGATTGATGGTTAGAATCAACGTAGGAATCAATTCAACTCTTAGCCCCATTTTTCTCAACACTTTCTTTGCAATCCTGGAACTATCCCTGGTTCCCAGTGCCTCAACCTTTTCCAGTCAGCTTTGGCTAAGGACACAGCATAAAGACAGCTCAAAGCTGTATCCTCCAAGACATCACCAGGTGAACCTATTCTGTGAAGTTCATGGCACAGACTTATGTGATAACTGGCTACATGGAAGCTGGACTCACCAACCTTCTCATGTTTTGACTTAATTCTCTCTAACCTGACCTCTGATCCCATTGAAGGCTGTGGGAGACCAAACTTTAACGTGACTGAGTCACTCCCTGCCTGGGTGATGAGGCTTCAGGCAGCAGCTGCTGCTAGACTGCCCTGTCCTTCTTGGATTCCAGTGACAGTGTCTTGTGCATGGTGGGCGTGCCTTCCTACAGCCCCATGGGTGGAGCTACGCTCACCTGTTCCTTTGTAATATCACCCCCTTTCCCTGTTTGGGATAGAATGTTCCATGAAAACACCCTTTGAGTGTCCCCTTCTCTTACTTTGCCCTTGAGTGTGGCCTACCTAGATGTCAGTCAACCTGCTGATAGTGGACATCATCTAGACTCAGCCCCCTGAAACCTGACCCCTTACCTCATTTGAATGGCTTCTGCTCAATAAAAGGGGTCAACACATACAGGCTCTCTCTCTTTCTGAGGACCCTTAAGGTCAGAGGAGCCGTTACAGCAACCCCAAAGAAACAGGTATTTGTGTCTCTTTGCGTGGTTATTTCGTGCAGCCCAGTTAGCCCAGTTCTGGAGTAACCCCTGCGTGTTTTAGCCACAAAGAAAACCCAGAAGAAGGCATCTTTTCCAATTTATTTCTAGTGGATGGTTGGGCTTCCTTAAGAATATGAACAGTGGGCTGGGCATGTAGCTCTGTGGTAGAGCACTTACCTAACATTCACAAGGCCCTGGGTTCAATCCCCATCTCTCCCTCTCTCTCTCTCTCTCTCATACACAAATACAAGAGCCCGGTGTTGTGGCACATACCTGTAATCCCAGCAACTCCAGAGGCTGAGGCAAGGAAGATCTCAAGTTTGATACCAATTTGGTAACTTAGGATAACCTCAACATAAAAAAAGGACTAGGGTTGTAGCTCAGTGATAATTCACCCCTCAGTTTAATCCCCAGTACTGCAAAAAGAAAACAACAACAAAATGTAAAGAAGGGCTATAGGCAGCACTAAAACCCAAGTGATACCCTAGTAAGGGACTATGAGAATTCCCCTGGTGATATGTGTAGTATAATGTGTAATGGGAAAGATTTTTTTTTTTTTTGGTACTTGGTACTAGGGACTGAAGCCAAGGGCATTTAACCACTGAAACATCCCCAGCCCTTTTAATTTTTTTTTTATTTTGAACTAAGTTGCTTAGGGCCTTGCTTAATGTGTGAGGCTGGCCTTGAACTTACAATCCTCCTGCCTCAGCCTCCTGAGCCACTGGAATTACAGGTGTGCACCATCACACCTAGCAAGACTGTCTTAACATGACCTTGGACTTTCATTCTGGGTGGCCTGAACAAGGGCCTGACTCTCCTGGTGAGAGGAGCCACACCTAGGCTCCCAAACTCAGCTTACCACAGGACTGGGAACTGTTCTGAGTATCCCACACATGGCTTTGCCTTCTCTGAGCATCATCCCTACCCTCATGGAACACAGGCCTACAGTGTCCAGGCTGGCATGGAAATCAGCTGAGGCCTAGACACATTTGACATAAATTCCTTCAATAACAAAGTTCTTAAGCTGTCTTCCAGGAAAAGCTCCAGGCTCTTACTAAGGATTCTTAGGGTTTGGGGCTAGGGATGTAGCACAGTGATAGAGTGCTTACCTAGCAAGTACAAGGTTCTGGGTTAAGTCTCCAGCACTGCAAAGGAAAAAAAAAAAAAAAAGATTCTTAGGGGTTTGAAATTAGCCTTTCAAAAATGGACATGAGCAGATGCCAGTTTGTCCTATTTAATGACATCACAAACTCAAAATCCCTCATGCAGGGTTGGGGATACAGCTCAGTTGGTAGAGTGCTTGCCTTGCATGCACAAGGCCCTGGGTTCAATCCCCAGCACCACAAAAAGGTGAAAAAAAAAAAAAAGAAATCCTTCATGCTGAACATAACCTTCCCAAGAAATATGTACCTTCTTGTCATTCAACCAATAAGCTGCTTATCCTCCCTCCCTTCCTATAAATTCCCCCACTACCGACTAATCCAGTCTAGGAGGGAGAGTTGAGTTTATAGCTCCTACTCTCTTTGCCAGTAAGCCACACAATCCCTCTTTGGGCTGGACATACAGCACCTACCTAGTATGTACAAGGCCCTGGATTAAAAAAAAAAAAAAACATTTTTGCAAAAAAGAAAAACCAGTGTGCCACGGTATTGACTCCTGTGTGCATCTGACAGTGAGCCTTGCTCAATGACAATAGCCTCAGACAGTTCTCGTAGTGGGCTGGCACCCTACCCCAGACTATGGGGGGAGTGCCAAGCAGCCTGATGTTCCTAGGTTTACAAGGTCACTCTCTCAGGCTGGCCCTATGCACAGGTAGAGAGATGGTAGGAAGGCCCTTTGTGGGCCCAGCTGCTGCTGTGTTGGTGGCCTCCCACAGGAAGAGAGCGGGTCAGGGACCCATGCAGCCCCCCTTCCTCCTGACACCATGTGTATGTGTATGTGTGTGTGTGTGTGTGTGTATCTCAGAGGATTAAACCTAGGGGCACTTTTGGGTGTGTATATGTGTATGTGTGTGAGAGAGAGAGGATTAAACCCAGGGACACTGTACCACTAAACTACATTCCCAGCCCTTTTTTTTCTTTATTTTGAGATGGGTCTCACCAAATTGCTGAAGCTGGTGTGAACTTGTGATCCTCCTGCCTCAGCCTCCAGAGTTGCTGGGATTGCAGGCCTGCGCCACCACGCTTGGTTGACCACTTGTTTTCTCTTTACCCAATATAGCCTATTACCAGATTGTGTGATGCTGCATAATTTGTCTCAAATCCAGTGAAAAGTAACTTGTAGAAGATGATAGAGAGAGCTGGAGCAAAGGGGGTTAGGGGGAGGATGGGATCTCCTATTACATTGGACTACTAGCTTCTCAGGGGCCGCCCTGGCACCAAGGTTTCTTGTCATTGTGCCTCTTCTGCTTCTGGTCTCCCTGAGGCAGATGTACGTTCCTTACTCATCTTTCTATCTCTGACTTCTCATTTCCACTTTTCTACTGCAAAGGCCTTGGGGTGTATTCTCTGTTTTTTAAATTTTATTTATTTATTTTTTTTTTTGAAGAAGGGGATTTTGCTCTGTTGCCCCAGCTGATCTTAGATCTGTAGACTCAAATGATCCTCCTGAGTAGCTGGAACCACAGGCATGTTTAGCATGTGCCACCACACCTGGCTTTTAAGTTAAATGTTTTATGCCTGTTTTATGCCGGGTGTGGTGGAGCATACCTGTAACCCCAGCTATGCAGGAGGCTGAGACAGGAGGGTCACTTGAAACCATGAGTTCAATCCCAGCCTGGGCTGGGGATGTAGCTCAATGGTAGAGCTCTTGCCTAACATCCACCAGGCCCTGGTTAAACCCTAGGTTCAATCCTCTGTACTACAAAATAAGGTATACCTGACTGGGTGCAGTGGCACACAATTCTAATACCAGCTACTCACAAGGCTGAGGTAAGAGGATTGCAAGTTCAAGACCAGCCTCAGCAATTTAGTGAGATGTCTATCAAAACAGAAAATAAAAAGGATATAATTCGGTGTTCAAGTACCCCTGGGTTCAATCCTCAGCAGCAAAAAAAAAAAAAAAAAAAAAAAACTTTTTTATTTTTAAATTTTTTTAAAAAATAATACTAGGAATAGAACCCAGGTCCTCACACATGCTAAGCAAATGCTCTACTACTAAACTATACCCCAATACCCCAACCCAGAGGTGTATTCTCAGTGTTCCAGATTTTGGTAATGGGCCCACCCAACTCAGCTCACCCCACTAGACCAGTAGAATTTGCATGTCATCCTTGGGCAGGGGCTATGCTAATCGTCTCTGTATCATTACAATTTTAGTATATGTGCTGCTGGAGAGAACACTTATTTTTTATTTTGAGATAAGGTCTTGCTAACTTAGGGCCTTGCTAAATTGCTGAGGCTACCCTTGAATTTGTAGTCCTCGTGCCTCAGCTTCCAGAATTCATAGGATTACAGGCATGCACCACCATGACCCAGCTTAAGGTGTCTATTTCTTAATTTGTTATAATACTCAAGAGAATCAGGTATATTGAAGAATCTGACAGATGAGTCTTGTGATATCAAATTGAATTTAGTAATTTATTTTAGACTTGTGACTGGAAGCTGAACGTTGAAGATATTTTGATTATGTTTGTAAACAATATTGGAATCTTTAAGATGACTTGATTTGCCACATCTGAAAGCTTGAATTATTAGGTTTATGAGAATTATTTACACGTTTAACATTTTTTTGTTTCTCGTTTGACTTGTAAATCTGTCCTTTGAGGAATTTGAAGTGCTTGGGAAAAAAATCAAGTATGTTAAATTTGTAAATGTAGTTTAAATATTTAAGAGAATTTAATTAACTAGGTTTGTAAATAGTATGAAAAATGTTCAGCCAAATTTAATATGTCAAGCCCATGGGCTAATTGAACATTAATCAGGGAACAAGTTATTGCTTTTATTTTTATACAAAATTTATAAGATTTCTAAATAAATCAGGGTATGCAAATTAACCTTAAGAATCTAGGGGCTGGGGATGTGGCTCAAGCGGTAGCGCGCTCGCCTGGCATGCGTGCGGCCTGGGTTCGATCCTCAGCACCACATACACACAAAGATGTTGTGTCCGACGAGAACTAAAAAATTAAGATCAAAAATTCTCTCTCTCTCCTCTCTCACTCTCTCTTTAAAAAAAAAAAAAAAAAAAAAGAATCTAGGAAAATCTGGGCTGGGGATGTGGCTCAAGCGGTAGCAAGCTCTCCTGGCATGCATGCGGCCCGGGTTCGATCCTCAGCACCACATACAAAGATGTTGTGTCCGCCGAAAAATAAAAAAATAAATATTAAAAATTTTCTCTCTCTCTCTCTCTCTCTCTCTCAAAAAAAAAAAGAATTTAGGAAAATCTGCTTTAAAATTTACAAACTTAAGAAATTGAAAATTAATTTCAACATAAGCAACTGTGAATAGTCCTTTTTGCTCTCAAATATCTGTCCTAGGATGTTCACCCACCTAGACATGACTATTCTGTTGTCAAATGTTTTCCTTCCTGAGAACTCTTTCACCTGGCTCTGTCTTTTATCATGTTAAATAACATTTCAGGAAAAATTGGTTTTGGACTGGGCTCCTGCACAGGGCCCTATAAACTAGGCTGAAAATCAAAATCATGCTAAAATTTCCTGTCCCTGTAACTGAAAGCTGGGTTCCTGTCCCCAAAGAGAATCAATGACAATTTAATAATGAGGATTCAGATTTGAGAAAAAGGAAAAAAGAAAAATTGTTGCTTTGCTAGCAAAGGAGAAACACAGGGGACTCCAGTCCCAAAGGCTGTGACTCTCCCAATCTGGAGGGACTGGAGGGGGGTGGGGGGGTGGAGTGTTTAAAGGAACTCTTAAAAGTTTACATTCCAGGTGTGCTCTGGTAGGGGGTCCCAGGGCACCTTGATGGCCTGTTAGAATTCACTTGTTAATTTGGGAGAAATTCACTTGCAGATCCTCTGCAGGCTTCTCCTTCTCATAGTGGGTGTTTATCAAGGACAATAAACTTGGGAAAGAAAAGATAACATGATAAGATTGTCTTTCTAATCTTGTTAGAGACAGAAAAAAAGAGAGAAGAGAGGAAAAAAAAACATTAAAAAAATAAAATAAACCTTAGAGCAATGATTATATTCAGAAGGCAAAGAGTCCACTGTCACAACCCCAAACCTAAACTAAGGTTTTTGTTTGTTTTGGTTATGGGGACTGAACTCAACGTTTACAGCCTCACTAAATTGCTGAGGCTGTCATTGAACTTGTGATCCTCCTGCCTTAGCTTCCGGGTCGCTGGGAGTACCTGTGTGCTCCACTGCCACCGTGCCAAGCACTCTAAATTCTTACTTGACCTTAAGGAAATCAGGAGTGATAACAGCCAAAGTTCGTCAAAAGGCTAGTTTCAATTGGCATGATGATGAAGTTTCCTCTGCCTTAATCCTTACCAAAAAAGCTAACCTGAAGTAATCTGATGTTAACCATTTTGCTATTTTTTTGTTGTTTTCTCTGTTCCCGCCTTCAAAGGAAAGTAACTTTGAAATGACCCATCTGTTTTGTGTTTATGTTTCCGCTTTCATTTTATTTATTTTATTTTATTTAGCCTTCTGTCTTATACAACCACTTCAGCGGGGCTCATTAGAACATTTCTATGCGATGAGGTTTTTGCCCCATTCTAAAACGGATAATAAAGCCCAGTAGCCACTTTAAATGTGTCATTTTGTCCTTTGACACTGGAAGAAGATTCACTAAACTGTAGAAGTAATGATTTCCATTCTACTGGGAGAATTGCTTTCTTTTCTTTTGACGCCTGACAGAAAACACTGGGAGATGCTTGGGGAAAAGGTGTTTTGACAGTTCACATATAATCTGAGCACCGAGGAGATTGCGCCCTTTCAGCCAAACAGAAGGTGCTCATTTTGGTCGGGGACTGAGGCCCGAGGTCCTGGGGGCCCCCCCGCGTTCCACGCGCTTAGACGGCTATATCCAGCTTCGCAGGGAGCGGCGCACAGAGACGCAGG